GTGTAACCCCTCTATTACACAAAGGCCCCAAAATCTTCCAGTTCCGACGAATTGGTACGACCACAGTTACAGGGTCTTGAGTTTTCCCGGCCACAACGTTAGTTACCGAATCCGTTTTTCGAAATTCAATTTTTGTCTCCAGTGGGAATTGAACTTGTATTCAACCGCTTGGGGGTGCGACAACTTCACCACTTCACTAAGTCGCTACACCCTTTTTTATACAACTTAATATTATATGAATATTTTAGACCTTTTACTTATTTCTCTAAGTATTTTAACTTTATATCTTAAGCCAAACTCTGCTATCATTGCTAGTTTGCTATTTCTAGATTTTAATATTTTCTAAGTTATCTAGTACAGTATATATCTTACTATCTCCTTAAATACTTCTTTATATGATATTTATTAGAATCTTGATTTGTAAAGATCTCTTGAATTGTATAGCAACTACAAAACTATATACTTCTAACTATTAGTTTTTATAATTTTGCTTTAATAATATATCTTATTAAAGATTAGCCTAATACTACAAAATTATTTAAATAACAAGCTAAATTACTTCTAGCTATTTCTAGTTGATATAGCATTTATATTAATATATTCTAACTCTTTTTTATTATAGACTTCTATATAGATATGACCAAAGCTCCAAATTGGTATCTTTAATTATATAAAAATAGATTATATTCTCTATGCCAAGTAGCTTTCTATTTCACTAATGCTAGAGGTGCTTCTAATTCTAGTTAAAGTATAATCTTTTACTATAACCTATAGTTTTGTATCACTATTTCTCTTACTACTTCAGTTTTAATAATATTGTACCATCTTTTTAAGCAAGTATCTAATATCAGTGATATATACAGGACATTTTGGGATATAGTGTTGGGATATTTTGGAATATTTTAACAAAAAATAAAGCTAATTTATTCAAAATTTTATTATAATAATCTGATTTAATCTCTTAAGTAAAGTTGTAGAGCATTAGACAGAATATATAATCATATATTTTTTATAAAAATATTTTAAATAGTTAAAGCTAAAATTAATATTTTAGATCTTGGATATTTTTAAAAAATGGTGGAACAGTCAAAACGTACATCACTGCCTAATACTATTCTATATTAGAACTTATATATACAATCTATTAATCATCTTTTCAAACAAGTATCTCACAAGTTAGGTGTAGAAATATTGATATTGCCAAATATAAAGGTGATAGAATATTGGTATTATCTTTGAGTCATCTTAACCAGAAAACTTACTCATGCAATCTTCTACTATCTAAACTTTTTATAATATTGCTATTATACATAGTGCATATATTCTACAATCTAGTTTTCTTCTAGAAACTTTTTATTTTAGTTTTATACTGCACTTGAACTTTTTACAAGGCTTTGCATTTAATTTATATAGCCCCTATAGGTTACAAAAATGAATTTTATTAAAATTTGCCTTTAGCCTGACTTGAACTATTAATTTAGTCTATAAGATTTAGAAGCTTAACTGCTAAGCTATAAAACCCAAACTTGCTATAGGGTTATATATATATATTAGCTATTTTATAAATACTTACTTTACTGAACTTGCCAAATTTGCAACTTTAATGTAATTTGTAATTAGCTATAAAGTAGTTATAGTTTCAGAAATCTATAATCACCAATCACATAAAATGTTTCAATTTTCTCGTGATCGTGATTACCTAATAAAATCATAATATAAACTGGTATAAAATTATAGATAGTATGACGAATATACAATGGTACATTTTTTTATAATCAATCAATCATATAGATATATATGACAAAACTTTATTTCTTGATTAAAATTATCATTTATTTAAAATACAAAATTTTGTTTTTACATATTAGATACAAAAATAAAATAGGAAAAAACAAAATTAAATAAATTACTCTTCAAAATCCATTTGTTTTTCAATTTTTTCAGGCAGATGATGGTGTGTCTTATATTTACTAACAGCTCATTCTGCAATTCTTCTTTCTAAACCTCTATCATAAGCCTCCATGTATCTTTAGGATTTACAGGCAAATTTTTAAATCATCATTACAGGAACTCTGACAAGAGCCTTAGGAACTTGTTGTATTAAGTCAGTATAATTATACTTACATAATTTTCTTGTCTCTCATTTTACGTATCCCCAATACCTTTCTATAAAATTATACTTGCAATAAAATTTAGAATACTATTTAAAAATATGACCCTTTTCAAGAATCAGTTCTTCTAAAATTGATTTTTGTTTACAAAAATCGGGCTGCTGTGATATTATCTTTCATATACAACAACCTAACCTTTCTGGATTGTCTTCTTTATTTTTTCCAGAACATTTTTTACATACCAATCAAACACCTTCTGACGGCTACAATTTATATTCTAAGAGTACTTGTTTAATTTCTTTTGGCTTCTCCTGCAGATTTTTGTCTTTATAATTATTTGGAAATACCATTGACTGTGTGATTCTCTTTCTATTTTCATTAATATACCAGCCATCACGTAATTTAGATTGTAACGCTCCAGGATCCAGATTCATTTTTGTCGCAACCAATATATTTTCTGCTATCGCATTATGATTTGTTGATTAGTCAAAGCAAAAAAACTCCAACACAGCCAGGGTGAAGCACCTCAAATATTAGAATTGCTTGTTTTACTAGCTGTTCCAACATATGTTCTGATTTCCAATATCCGTCTGACTATATGGAATGAATAACAAATGTTTTCTTATATTTTATATACAGATTTGCCCTCATTTGCTCATCAGATAGCTTCATTAATCCATAGTATTAACAAAGAAAAGCCAAAATCATGATTGAACATCCTTCATCCTTTAGACATAAAATGTCTTCATTTTTTCTGATCCAAATTCTTTGTTGACTATCATTCGCATAAAAATGGTATTCATCATGTGTTATCTGCAGTAATATATAATATATTTTGTTAATAAATTATAATATATGTTGTGCCTTAGACTAATGCTTGCCTCAGATCACAGCTGATGCATCTCAGATGCAGATCATTAGATGAGGTATATAACCTATCGATTGGTCAATAATAGGCATAAAAAAAAATTATATATATAGAAATCATTGAAAATTGAACATGCTGAAAAACTTAAATGGAAAGAATATGTCATAAAAATTTGGGTAAAAAAAAAACTATATATAGAGAGAAAAAAAAGTGAAAATAGAATATGCTGTGAAAATTCAGACAAAGAAATTCAAAGAAAAGAATGGAGGTACTGAAGAGACTAAATATAAAAGAATGCTACTGTTGGTGGTAAAATATCAGAGATTTAAGAATACTATTAGAGGCAAGATAATACCAAAGTGATTCAAAGATATAGAATTTTACTAAAGCTAAGAAAGATGCCAAAGTGATTTAAAAAATACTACTAATAAGAGAAACGCTAAAGAAATCTAAGAATTCAAGAATAAAAAGAATTCAAGTAAAAGATCTTTTATTTAATTTATTTTACGCTTTTATTTTTGTTAAAATAATAATCGATAGATTACACACTTCACCTAACAATCTGTATCTAAGGTACGTTAGCTGTGATCTGGGGCAAATGTTAGTCTAAGATATAATATATATACACAAAATACTGTAATAATTATATTACTACAATATTTGAATTATGAAAGCACAGCATATGACAGTTTTATGAGAATAAAACTATGGATATTTAAAAAAAATTATTACCTGTACTAATTCTTTTTGACCAGGTTCAAGTTGAGGTTCCAACACAATTTTTAAAATCTTGTTGTCGAAACTTTTCATAAATTTTTTATAGGTAAACATTCTTTTAAGCTATTCTTTTCTATAAGCCACCATATTCAATCTTTCATACCCATCGTAATAAACCCCTTTCTTGTTTTCATCATATCTAAACCCCCATAAATACATGTAGGTTTGACATGTTCTTTCAGAAATAGTGTTTTTCTTAATTTGTTCTGACATTTGAGAAAACACTGTTCCTTCAATATATGTCTTTAAGGTACTAGAAGAACGTGACTCAGGTTTTTGTTGATATAACCAAGCTTGACAATTGTCTGAAAAATCTTTATTTTTGATCAAGCTTTTCAACTTAGCATGCTTTCTTTAACGATCGACAAGAAGTTCTCCTGTTTCTATATAATAATTTCTCCATTTTCTAAGATGTTTCGCTATAGAATCACTTTTACTCCATATAGTTTAGACAAGATAAATTCTTGTATCTATCTTGCCCCATTTGTCTAACAACAATTTTATGTATCTGCTTATACTTAAAAGACACAAATAATTATAGATAGGTGTATTAATATTTGAAGATTTTATAATTGTGTATTGTTTACTAATTTCCTTAAAACACATTTTAAGTTTTTCTTTTATACTGATAGATAGTTTTAAATCATTCTTAGATGTTTGAGAAGATGTTTGAGAGGGCATTTGCATTATACTGTTGGTAGATGGATTCAATGGAGATGATTTCGACATTAATAATCAGGCATTGGCCAATAGTATTGATGAAGGTAGTTGTGGTAATCGTAATTGGTCTATAATGTCAACAGCAGGAAATAAGTATGACAAATCAGGTGCTAATTCAATATTTGATGACACTTCAACTTTTTGTTTTTTCCTCCAGGCTGTTGTTCTTGACATTCCGGTATATGGTGTTCTACTATGTTTTATATCAATAGCAGATTCTTGTGATATAGTAACTTCTTGTATAGTTTCAACTTGCGGCATTTCTTCTACAATTTCGTCTTGTAGCAATTCCTCTTGCACCATATCTACATCAAGTATCATCTCCTCTTGCACCATATCTATATTTAGTATCATCTCCTCTTGCACCATATCTATATCTAGTATTATCTTCTCTTCTTGTAATGCAAAAAGACCTCATTTTCTGGAAAATTTAGATGCATGTTGTTTTCTTTTATTAGAATGTGGCATTAGATATATATTAAAAATT